AGTTACTCGTCGTCTGCTGCGGAAGACGTTCCAACACATCGTCTGCCTTGGTAGCTAATTCTTTCAGGGGCGTATGCAGAAACATGGACAGCATTACCGGAAACTGCTCTGGGAAACGTGCAACCCACAGTTCCTTTATCCCTTCTTCGCTCAAGAATAAGGGAACAGCGACGCGCTGAATTTCGCGGAGCAACGCCGAGGGCTTGCCATCTCCCAGCTTGAGACCATTGAGCTGTTCAAATCGAGCTCGTACGCTGGGCTGTAACCCTTTTAGAATCGCTTGCTTCATCGGTTCATACTTCGCTTCATTCGACGGGCAGAGAAGAATGTCCTCAACCAGCGTCACAACCGACGAAGGAAGGCGTGGGACGAGCTGCTTGTACTTCATCTTAATGCCCTTATTTTCTAGTTCGATCTCGAATATCGCAAATCAAAACTCTGGGATGTGTTTCATGAAACTTGGAACAGCCAGAGTAAGCATGTTTACGCTGTGATACGACTCAGATGCCAGTTTTGAAATGCGAATCGAAAAGATCAAGGCTGAACAAAAACACGATCAAAGTACTAAAATTACGCAAGCAACAAATGAATACATGTATATAATCGAACAAAAGGGACAAACTCGCCAAAAATACAAACGACGAAAACGTTTAAATTCGTGCTTGTGAATCGTCGTCACCAATTTGTAGGACTGGTAACTACTAATCCGAGACGGTTCACGAAATTAAGCGCGGATATCAGAAGGCAGTTGGAGTGGGACACAGCCGACTGTATTCGATGGGCTACAAGAAAACGCGGACGGATGAAGCAAGACAGGAGGTACACGTTAGCGCGGGAACTTACGAGATGGTCAAGTGCCGAGCCGGATGTAGGTCAACATGGACGTAATGTAAGGGAGACTAAAACAAAAAGAATAGCGTACCATTGGTCATCAGCGAAATTGTACACAAAAGATAATAGTTATCTTTTGGGGCGCTACACTATGTACATTCACGCGGGTACATTATATCAACTTTTGCGCTACAGATTAACTACAAATGTACCATTGAGTAGCTCTCCTAAAGTACGAAAGTCAAATTTGGCTTCGATCGAAAATCTGTTATTCCTGAACAGAAGCATCATTTTGTATCGTGCATAAGTTTAAATCACTCACAATGTAGTGCATTTCTTTTGGCGATTTCATGCGTAACCTGTCCAAGTCAATTCTGCACTCTCTATCTAACCACTCTAGTTATCCTTAGTCTTTATCAGTAATGATCGACTAGCTTGCTTTATTTTTGCTATGCTCTCCTGGTCGATCCACCACCATTATATTTGGTCTGATGACTTGCGCATGATGCCACTATTTTGTTCCCTCTGCGTCCACTCACTTTCGGGGAGTTGTATGAAGGTTGTCGTGAACATGAATCATGCCCACTTCCAGTATTTTAAGACATTGGATTTTGTCCTTGTTTACATATTCCGATCGTACATTTATCAAATTGTTGGTGCATACCGATCACTTGATCTCCTCGTGAGTCACGCCATACAATACTGTCTGCCTCTGCTTACCTGCCCTCCATACTTTGTTGCTTTTGTCAATACACGTTGGGTCCAGACGATCTAACAGTTCTCCCTACGTCCGTACTCGGCACGCCCCTTACATGCCAACTCTAGCGATTAGCATCCGAGTGGAGCACCTCAGAACGCGTTTCCCATCTCATAAAAGTTCGTGTTTGCTTGCATGCAGGATTTTCCATTTACATAATGCAAAATAGGAAGATAACATTTTAACAGTACACGCTCAATTCGGGTATTTCAACATTCTCATCGGCTGCTTATATACACTTCATGAATTTATCACGTTGCGTACAAGAAGAAGCAATGTGTAAGCATATTTAATTTAAAGAAAAACTATTAATGACCTCCACAAGGTGAGGTGAGGCTGACCGTAAATGCAGTCTGCTTGCACAAATTGGGCTTCAGCCGCCGAATAGCTGGGGCCTAAGTAAACAAAAACAAACAAGCATTGCTCTGTTGGCTAACTACTCTGCGCGATTCACGAGGAATTAGGCAGTTAGTGCAGTCTAGGATATGTTGCGCAACACAGCTAGCCGGCAGTTTGAGTCCGTGGGCGATCATACTTCGTGGAATGTGTTCTGAAATCCTTGCGGGTAGCCTCCGCTCAGTTCGGCCAATGACATTGCCACCACAAGTAGACTGGAAGAGGTAAACACAAGCAGGACATTTATGTGCGACTAGTCGTATGACAACTTGACTCGTTGGCTAACGGAGCTGAACGAACCTATCCGGTGTGAGCTAGCCGGGTACAACCCATACACTTGAATTTGTCGACAAAATAGGGGTTTAAAAGTATATTGGCAATACTTGGTCTCATTTGATGTATGCTCCCTGTTCATCAAACTTCGGTTGTAAAAGACGTTAGACCTCATCGGCATTTGCGTATAGACCCCAGCGTTCCATATTGGATGCAGTGGCATATCTTGTCCATTCTATAGCCTCTGCATTATATCAAAAATATAAATCCTTACGCTTCTCTTTTTGGATTATTCGAATGCCTTTGAAAGCCTGGATAGGTCAAGGTTGCTAAACCTCTTATCCGAAAATGGAGTTCACACTGGTGTATGTAATGCGTTGACTGACTATTTTACGGATCCTACTCACTTCATCAAGTTGAACGGTAATAAATCCTCTGTCCATGCCAACTGTGGTGTTCTACAGGGAGCGGTCCTATCACCCTTTCTATTTGCCATGTATGTTGAATATCTCTCAATAAAAACCAAGTTTGTAGGGTGTAAATATGCTGATAATGTGCCGGGATGTATGCCCGTACTAACCAGGATTCCTTATTACCTCAACGTGAGTTGGAAGATCTGGTAGAATGGTCTTCATCCAGATATCTTACGCTTAATGCTTCAAAATGCAGTGATGTAATATTTTTTTTCCTACGTGACAATAAGTTGCAGTTCCTCATGACTTTCTTCCCCACATTTACTGTGAATAAAAATCCCATACCCAACTCTTTCACCGTCAAGTATCTCGGCATTTTTTGTCCCAGAACATTTCTTGGTCCACGAATATCTGTAAAACTTTTCAAAAAGTCGGAAAATTTTCCTTCTATACCCTCAGGCTTAGGGTGCTTTCAGTAGCTCGTAGCTTAATATGCAAGTTTGTGACCTCTTATATTATTCCCCATTGACTGTACTGCTCCCCTATCATTTTCCATGGACTGCTTCAGAAGGACTTCATCTTTTTGGTGCCATCTCTAAAGCACAGTTCTAGATGAAGCAGCTTGTCTAGAGATTCTTTAGTTGATTTGCTCATTTTAGACATCTTGATGCTCAATGCTTTTGCTTCTAAGATATAAACTGATCGATTGCATCCACTTCAAAATGATCTTTCCAAAACGCTCTCTTTCTCTACTTGTTCGAAATTTAGTATTTTCTTCCGCACGTCATCGTATCGCAATACGGTTTTGCCTTATCTTACGTTTACTTGTTGTCAGCAAATGTCACCAACATGCTACGCGAGCGGTTGTTAGAGGAACAGTTCTACATGTGCCCCATTTTTCCCAAGCATGTATATTGATATTATCATCCAGGTGTCCGCAGTGGTGGTGTAAATGCTGAAAATAAACGCATTAGGGTTCATAAAGCTTATTTTGACTTGACTTGGCAATGTGAGGTTTTCAGCACAGCACTTCACGTTTTTACTCCTTTTGTTGCCAAAAAACGCTCAGTTCCAATTCAGTGCAACAATCTATCGTCAGTTCGATGGCGTAGCTATGTGCAGACCACTTGTGGCAGTCCTAGCTGATATTTTCATGGGCCACTTGTACAGTAGACACTTTGACGACAAGCCGGCTTTGGCTGATAATGCTCAGCACGCTTAATGCCCACTTGGAGTTTTTAACAAATGCCACCGTGCGATCAAACTAACCATGGAACTCGAAATCGATAACACATTTCATTTCTTGGATGCACACCTGAAGAGGAATCCAGTTGGCACGCTCACTCGGTCTGTGTATCGCAAGCCCACTTGGACAGGACACAATATCGATTTCAATAATTTTTGTCCTAGAAGCTGCAAACGAACATCGGTCCGTTCTGCCTTCGCTAGAGCTCACAAAATTTGTTTTGGAGGCACGACCGATAGTGAGCTGGAACGCATGTCATCAATACTACTTAAAGGCGGCTACACTACGAAATTCATAGCCCGCTACGCAAACGCAGAACACAGCAAGATGTGTATACTAGATGTTCCTAAGAAAAGGTGTTCATCACACCACTATTTAAAGTGGATGAAATGATAGAAGATTCCAGTGTCACCTCCATAAGTTTGTTCACAAGTGCCATTACGCTCTCGAAGTGGTGTTAGTGCATTAAGTTCGGAACTTGCTCTGTAAATCCAACCCGGACAAGCCAGAGCCTCATGTTACCGCTACTTGTATTTGCTTCTTCCAGTCTACTTGTGGTGGCAATGTCATTGGCCGAACTGAGCGGAGGCTACCCGCAAGGACTTCAGAGCACCTTCCACGAAATATGATCGCCCACGGACTCAAACTGCCGGCTAGCTGTGTTGCGCAGCATATCTTAGATTGCACTAACTGCCTAATTCCTCGTGAATCGCGCAGAGTAGTTAGCCAACAGAGCAATGCTTGTTTGTTTTTGTTTACTGGGGCTTCAGCTATTCGGCGGCTGAAGCCCAATTTGTGCAAGCAGACTGTATTTACGGCCAGCCTCACCTCACCTTGTGGAGGTCATTACTAGTTTTTCTTTAAACTAAATGTGCTTACATATTTCTTCTTCTTGTACGCAACGCGATAAACTCACAAGTGTGATGTAAACAACTGACGCGAATACTCGAAATACCTCTAATTCAAAGTATTCTGTTAAAATGTTATATATCTTTTCAGTATATAGTTGAGTTTTCTTCTACCGATTCTCTTTTTGAAATGCCCTGTGTACAAACTTGGAACTAGCAGTAATTTGTTATGTTGAATGTTTTTACGGTTGAATGGGATTCCGGTACATTTTCTTGGACTAGCAACTGTTTACTCTTCCGTTATTCCGAAGGCAGCTGTCCAAGTTGAAGACCCGAAGTATCGTGATAAACTTATAAAGCTGCAAGCTGCAATCAGGTATGGTGAAGGCGATTTTGCCGCCTCTCGCAGCCTGGTCGAACAGTGCGTAAATGATCCCGAGGCGATTGTAAACCTTGGTTGCCTATTCTACCGAGAGGGAAACTACGAACAAGCGAACAAATACTTTCAGCAAGCAATTCAAGTAAGTTGTTCCCGATAATTATTCACCGAACCCATAACTGGCACCACTTTTGCAGCTACTGTAAGTTATCTTGTTCTTAATACTGATGGTGTGACTTACATAGTATGGTACACCTTCTACTGATAAATGAAGACTCTTGTTCCCACCATGTCATTTCCTCTGATAGGCTTCCATTGTTCCCACACAATGCACTGCTGTTAATTTCAAAAAAAGAATGCGTCAATTTCATTGCTGTGTGGTATGTAATGTTTCCACTTCAACTGCGATAAGTTTCCCCAATCTATGCCAAAATCCTTGCGCCCATTCACAGGTTCCTTGAGAACGGTCGTAACCTGATGCGATAAGCGTGTGTTGAAATAACCTAAACTCCTACTGGGTGTGATGAATATAAAACATAAGACAGCAAGCCAATAAGCGATAGATCTGACTGATTCCACCATTGGACACAGTTGGCTGACTCGCCGAAGCTAGTGTTACTGATTACTGGTTCGAAGCAGCGAGTAGAGCTTTCTCTGTGTAGCTGCATCATTCGTCGCTCTTGGACAAATACTCGTTATGTTGTGTTCCGCTCTGTATATAATTTGCGTCCGCAAAGTGTTTGTCAAGGAGCATCTTAAATTCCGACACTGAGTTCGCCTCTACTATGTGTTGCGGCAGGTCTTTCCATACATTCACCACTCTGCGTTCGAAACAGAGTTGGTGAACGACCAGCTTCAAATCCGGTACGACAAGTTTATACCGGTGTCCTCGCGTGCAGCTTGGTGTGCGCTGGTGAAGGAGTTTTCTCAACATGGGGTAATCACTCAGATGTTAGCTATGAGGAGTTTATAACTGATTGTTTAACTGAGTGAAAGGGAGGACTTCATCGGTCCAAAAACGTCGTTTTTAGTGACGATGCATGGGTAGTATGAATTGATGCGTTTTGCGAGTAAACTTGCCGTAACATTCGTTGATTTTCCCTCACCGATTAAAGGCTTATACTTGAAGGAACGACTTTTGCGGTCATGACAGTTATTTTTTGCCCTAATTCATACTATTTGACCGTGAACACGCTCTCATTGCAATGCGTGGGAATTTTACTATTCCAGACTTACTTGCAGACAGCTGTAACAGTGATATTCTATAGCACTATACCACTGTATACCTGATATTACGTAACCCATTTTGCGTTGCTGTTATTTAATTTATGTCCATTTTTGCTAGCCGCTGTTCCTCATTCATCTACTTGAGGAGTTGCGATACTTACCTTCACTGGCTGGCCTCATCCGTTCAGGCCCTGCTGTAACCCTTACGAATATACTCCACTGTGTGAAACACAATTCCTCTGACGTCTGCGTTCGATTACGTGTTTACTTAGGAACTAGTGTTTTTTAGTCTTGTAGTACGGAGACCACACAGACAAACTAGCAGAATATAAATAGGAACAAAGTTCCGTTGCCTCAAATAACAGATGCGACAGACGTCGAAAGCAGTCGTCAACAGTCAAAGCAACGAGAACTGACGTGGCACATAAAACAGTTTGTTATGATTAGTTTATTCCATCAGAGGGCGATCAGTGCAAAAATGTCAAGTACAATGCTTAATGGTAAATAGACAGTGTTGTGCAATGACTTCGAAGTATTCTGAGACGGTGGTGAAAGCGCGGTATGTGTAGACAAGCCGGAAAACGTCAGCACAAGCAAAAAGCCTGCAGTATTATCGTTCCTTACTGTGTTATCTACGAATTAGTGGCATGCCAAACCTCAAAGCGACCTGTTTGCACAAATCAGTTCTAAGGACTAACAGCAATTGTGATATGAACACCATGAAGTATAGACATACCACCCATACCTATGATGTCTGCTGGCCATGAGAAACATGTGAATGACAGGAGCCGGTTGACAGACGCTAAAAGGGATTTGCTGTATGGTATAAACTAATTAGCATAGAAATCAGTTTAGGTCCGCTGGTGGGCGAAGGTATTATGCGCTTGTGTTGCAACCATAAGGTCCCTGGTTCGAATCCAGGTATGTGCGCGCGACCTCGCGGTATATCCAGTCTACGCGCGACTGGTGGTAATCGTGTGGCAACGCAGCGCTGGTACGGTGTGCCGGCGTGTTTCTGATGTGTTTCAGTCGGCTTAACTAGGACTACTGGAAATTGGGATAGACTTAGCTCGAAGTTAAAGCTAGCCTCAACACGGAGGTGGCAACTCACCGTGAGAGCATGTAGAAATCGTATTAGATCAAATCGCATTATATCAGTACGGTAAAACAAGAAAGTAAACTTCGTTCAATAGCAATCACCACATCCACCACGATTTAAATGAAGTTTTTGGGTTGCTGTAGTTACAGCGTTCTTTATTCTTCAACTCCTCAGCTCTTTGTGCTTATTCCGGCGTATCTCCTTGCACTTCATCGCACGCATCTTGCTTTCTGGAATCGACTCAGATAAAGTATCGTTCATTTTGCCTAAAATCTCAGGAGTCTAGGTTGAGTTGCATAAAACTGACCATAATAACCTATCAGCCAGATCAGTTATTCAATATATGTGGGCTACTCAGATGGCTGAGGATTATTTCACTAGGCTGTCGGAGATAATTACCACGGTGATAAAGAACTTCGGCAGATTTCAAGCGCAACATATCCATCCTGTGCACACGCTTCCTGCACAACTTGCAGATCAGTTTCCAGTAATCGAATGAGCCCCCTACTTGTAGTGCATAAGGAAGTTGTCAACTCATTTTTCAAGCTGAGTAAACATTGCTGGATTGAGAAAGTAATTTCGTTTTTGATGATACACACAAATTTCGCAGCAGCACTAATAGACCGTGGATATCTAGGTACACTCGCTTAAGCCACTCGTCAATACTTTAGCAGTGAATTGGGTTCCACTGTCTGTGACTATGACACACGGTACTACCTTGTGCATAAGCGTTTTACAAAGATCTGTGAGCGGGAAATCTGACATAGCAGAATCGGTTAAACACTCTTCTGGCCAACGCGAAAAGGAATCAGTTATGATCAAAACATAGTATTTGTCCACAAGTGAACTACAGTAGTCTGCATGCACTGCTTGCCAGTCTTCATCTATTGTGGGTCACGACGTTTAGTTGCATGGTCTGGAATGAGTCTTATTTGACCTACTGGTGCAATATTTACCTTGCGGAGTATACCAGCATTTAGTTCTGGCCACTAGCAGTGTAATCGAACCCAAGACTTCAGTTTTTCCACACCTAGATTCCCAGAATGCAAGTCCTGTAACATGGCATGTCACTGCGTAAGGGGCATAGCACTGCGATCTTGGACACACGGATTTCCATCGGCTGTAACAGAAAGTTCATCCCGGAGCTTGTCGAACTGAGGAAATCGTCTCTTCTGTTCACAACTCCACCCCCTACGGATTGATAGCAGAAAGGTATGCTAATATGTCCGTGTATCGCAGATCAGACGAACGATTTACCGGAAATGGCTGCGCCTAGAGACACCATAAACTCACGATTTCATTAGATGTACTGCGTCGGGACAATCAATCAGCATGATTCTTGGTGGACTGTGTAAATGAATGTAGACGCGTTGCGTTGTAACTGTACGTAGAGGGTAACATGTTGAAGCAAAAATTATGACCTTGATCATGGAAGCTGGTTTGAGCCGGTAAATCGTGAACCTTTTATCTGCAACTCGGTATTCTGAACAGCCTTTGTTTATAGCTACTGCCATAACTATCAGACACACCCACCGTGTGAAGGAAAATACCAGATGTCGAGTAGTACTCCGTAAATAAGGAAGACTGGACCGCGATCACGAAGTTGTTTATTAAGATTACGCATGGATATTTATAGAGTATATGCACTTTTTGCGAGAGTCCGCTCAACTGCCTCACCCTTGTTATTTTCATTATGTCGCTGGCTCCATTTTCATTGGTTTACGCTAGTTCGCAACGTTTATCCTGTCTAAAATTACCTCGAGCCGTCTTGCTTTTCTGGGTAGATTGTACGATTGGCTCAGTTGATCAATCGTCCATCTGTTCACACGCTCCTTCACTTGGTCCGGTGCCACAGCAAAGCTTGACGCAAGTGCGCACCGTCTATTCGTGGGTTGGCAAACCAATCCGCTTCTCACGGATACACGCTCTTTTCCAGGCTTAAGTGTTCCTATGCGTTTGGGACGTGCTGGCGCCTGATTGGTCACCTACACACTCCGTGGATGTTTGTTCAGTTAGCTGGCTGTCCTCGCAGAGCTCGATGTGGGTGTGCGCGGACAACTCACTACTTGATCCGCCTCCGGTGACATGCTCACTTCCCTTCGGGCAAAGTTCCATCTGTTCGGTACTCCGCGAAATGCTGCGTGGCGTTCGATTGGCCGTCTGCCTACCGTCATCAAAACGTTCCCACTCACCATCGGCTTCAATCACCACCACACCAGAGTAAACCTTTTTGACACACACACACACACACACTAGTTTTCTCAGCTCTTAGAGAAAATGGACCGAGCTCATACAACCCATATGCTAGACAAATGATAAAGCCACTACATTCAAAACAGCACGGAAGCGATGTCGACGGAATCAGTTATCCTATCGGCCATAAGATGAAGCCTTAGACTAATCGTGCTGGTATTGTGTTGAAGTCGGTCATGAAAAGTCCCTCAGACCTGAAGCACTGACAGTGTTTTGCACCTAAAATAGGCTATGCGCCAATCCAGCGTTGTCTCCGATGGACAGCGATGGCGTTTGACCACGCTGTTCACAGCAGTTTTCTTACTGTAGCGTGAGCCTTGAATTTCTTAGTGGTGTGTTAGATTGAAGGAAACGTGGATGTCTGGATAAACGAACAGTTGTAATGTGGCACCTAGCTATCTAAGAACACTTTAGCTGTAGTTCTGTGGAATGATTTGCGCATCTCACTTGACATTCCGAGCAGCTAACTTGTGTCAGAAGTCTCCCAACGTCGGCGCAAGTATGATGGGGACGCGTGACAGTTCTCTGGATTGTTTGTTCGTAGTGGAACTCCGCGTGCTGTT